ACAAAACACCAAAAGCATTGGCAACAAAAGCCAAAATAGACAAATGGGACCTAATGAAACTCCACAGCTTCTGCACGGCAAAAGAAACAGTCACTAGAGTGGATCGGCAACCAACAGAATGGGAAAAAATTTTTGCAGTCTACCCATCTGACAAAGGGCTGATATCCAGAATTTACAAAGAACTCAAACGGATTTACAGGAAAAAAACAAACAAGCCCATTCAAAAGTGGGCAAAGGATATGAACAGACACTTTACGAAAGAAGACATATATGAGGCCAACAATCATATGAAAAAATGCTCATCGTCACTGGTCATCAGAGAGATGCAAATCAAAACCACATTGAGATACCATCTCACGCCAGTTAGAATGGCGATCATTAAAAAATCTGGAGACAACAGATGCTGGAGAGGATGTGGAGAAAAAGGAACACTTTTACACTGTTGGTGGGAGTGTAAATTAGTTCAACCATTGTGGAAGACAGTGTGGCGATTCCTCAAGGCCTTAGAAATAGAAATTCCATTTGACCCAGCAATCCCATTACTGGGTATATATCCAAAAGACTATAAATCGTTGTACTATAAGGACACATGTACACGAATGTTCATTGCAGCACTGTTTACAATAGCAAAGACCTGGAATCAACCCAAATGCCCATTGATAATAGACTGGATTGGAAAAATGTGGCACATATACACCATGGAATATTATGCAGCAATCAGAAATGATGAGTTTGTGTCGTTTGTAGGGACATGGATGAATCTGGAGAACGTCATCCTCAGCAAACTGACACAAGAACAGAAAATGAAACACCGCATATTCTCACTCATAGGCGGGTGATGAAAAATGAGAACACATGGACACAGAAAGGGGAGTACTAAACACTGGGGTCTATTGGGGGGAAAAGGGGATGGCCCAGTGGGAGGGGGAGGTGGGGAGGGATAGCCTGGGGAGAAATGCCAAATGTGGGTGTAGGGGAGAAGGAAAGAAAAGCACACTGCCATGTGTGTTCCCATGCAACTGTCTTGCATGCTCTGCTCATGTACCCCAAAACCTAAAATCCAATAAAAAATTAAAAAAAAAAAAAAATTTTTTTTTTAAAATAAAAATTCATATTGGAAAAAAAAAAGAATTAAGTAACTTATAAGAAATAATCCTATTTCTAACTACAGTTACAGATTTAAATCCCTGGCAGATAACATGTACAGAGGGCTTTCTAATATTTTGTAAACTAATTAAGAAAAATAATCCAAATTTGTACGGCCAATTGTGTAATTATCACTGTCTCCTTGCTGAGAGAACTTCATCACAGAAAGAAGGAGATGGAAGAATACCAAGGCAAAGCCTGTGTACCAACTGTGGCTTGAGTCCTACTACCAAGCCACTGCTGCTTCCTCTTTTTTTTCCATTATTGTACATCAAGCCTTTTCATTCCAGAGTACCCAACTATCTCAAATTACCCCGCATCTAAATCTGGGGTCCCTAAATATTCTAGGCATATTTGGGTTCAAGACAGAATGAGGGGAAACAACTAAATTTCTACTATAATACATTCAAGTGAAGGAACAAAAACTCTCATGGTAACATGCTAAATGCTGACCAGACCATGAACTACAATGCAAAGAATTGTTTGGGGCCTTAAATAGCAGCTGAACATAGTTACCACTGCTCCTAGTGTGGAAACAGGTAAAAAGGACATTCCAAAGGCTGTTTATCCATTTCAGCATACTCAAAATCCAACATTACATGCAAATTCCCCTTAATGAAGCACGGTTGGATTCAATGCCATATATTTTTTGACTATATGTGTGTGACTCACTGATTTTGATACTTCTTGCTTTTCAACTTTCTTCAATGATTTCAAACTATGTATCAAACATTTATTGAATGCCTACTTTGCCTGAAATAGCACAGCTGTGTGACTTTGGGCACATAATCTGTGCTTAGTTTTCTCATCTGTAAAATGGAGATATTAGAACCTATCATCACAGAGTTGACATAAGGATTAAATAAGATAATGAGTTTAAGCACTTAGAAAAGTTTCTGGTACATAGTAAGAACTTACACGCAATTATTATTGTTATTAATCTCCTTTTCTGTGTAATGGCTTCCATAAGGATACTGCATGAGTTATTAATTTACTAGTTATCACCGTGACTGTTATTTAACTGTTTATGTAAATTTAATTCCCCAATTAAACTGTAGAATTCTTGAGAGCCAGGACTACATCTTGTCATTTTTTTTTAAGGCAATACAGTATAGTGGTTATTTACATAGACTTTGGGCCAGTCCACCTGGGCTCAAGTTCTGGCTTCATTTCTTATCAGCAGAGAGATCTGGGCAACGTATTTTACCTCTATCTCCCATTTCAAAAATATTCACCATCATCTACCCAAAAAGCCCCAAGATAGAAAAATGGAAGTCATCCTAGATACCTTCCTCTCTATCCTTCCACATGATCCAGTCTCTATGGAGGCTGGATCCAATCCAATTACCAATCTCTATAATTCTACACTTCTAATATCTCTACTCTCCATCCTGGCTCTCTACTTGCATTGGTATTTCAGGCTTTCATTATCTCCGGTCTACCCTACTCAAAACAGTCTTAAAGGACATGGAGAACTGAGAAGTAGAAGCAGGCATAAGTTGTTGCTGGTTCGTAGAAAATGGTGACCAAAAAAAACTAGGAAAAACAAGAGAATTCAAAGGGCAATGCCAGATTAGCTGAGCTAGAAGAAGGGATTTATAGAAAAGAGTACTATAAAGTTAAAAAACTAAAATAGAAGGCCAGGCATGGTGGCTCATGCCTTAATCCCAGAGCTCTGGGAGATCAAGGTTGGGTAGATCCCTTGAGCCCAGGAGTTCCAGATCAGAGTGAGCAATATAGTGAAACGGTGTCTGTATTAAAAAAAAAAAAAAACTAAAAAACTAAACTAGAGCCAAATTGTGATGAGTTTTACACTCCAAGCTAGAGAATCTCAGTCTTAATCCTGTGGCAATTACCTCTTCTTTTTCAATGGATCACGAGGTCAAGAGATCAAGACCACCCTGGTCAAAATGGTAAAACCCTGTCTCTACGAAAAATACAAAAAAGACAAATTAGCTGGGCATGGTGGCGCGTGCCTGTAATCCCAGCTACTCAGGAGGCTGAGGCAGGAGAATCGCCTGAACCCAGAGGTTGCGTTAGCCGAGATCGCGCCATTGCACTCCAGCCTGGGTAACAAGAGCGAAACTCCGTCTCAAAAAAAAAAAAGAAAAAAAAATCAGCTGGGCGTGGTGGTACGTGCCTGTTGTCCCAGCTACTTGGGAGGCTGAGGTAGGAGAATCGCTTGAACCCAGGAGGCAGAGATTCAAGTGAGCTAAGATCACGCCACTGTACTCCAGCCTGGTGATAGAGAGAGATTCCATCCCCCCACTCCCGCAAAAAAAGACAAGGTGCTGTTCCTCATATTAGCACATGGGAACAAAAAAATAAGTATAGTCTTTAGGAAAGTACTGAAATTTCAAATAATGTGTAATTCAAGTTTCCATAACTGATAAACTGCTCAGAAAAGAACAGTCTGTCTTCTTACTATAGGAAAGATCTTCCCTCACTCAAACATAGTCAATGATCTGCTAAGGGCAAATTCTAGGAATAACCCTGCTTTACCCACTAGTCATATATTAATAACAGACTTTTTGTATAGGTGTATTTTAATAGTTTATGGGAACTATAATGAGGTTCTTCATTAGTTTAAATTCTTAGCCTTTGGGAAGGCGCAGATCCTTATAAGATCCTAATGAAGGTTTTGGAGACTATCCCTAGAATAATCCACATATGAATATACATTAAATCCTGCATTTTATTTCAAGGAGTTCATGAACCCTCAATACACATTTATAAATCACAAGACTACCTATTCTATAGGATTACTACTTTTCAAATGCAAAAGGCAGCAGTTTTGACTCTGTACTGAGAGGGCAAGAATTTCAAACCATTTTTTTGTTTGTTTGTTTTTGGTGGGATTTATTGATGAATTTTCACTGATCTTCCATTCTCTCATCTAGGTCTTCTTTTTATCAACGGCATATTGTCTATGACCATGTAATAGAGCAAAGCTAAGAGTATCTGGAAATTTAATTTATCAAATTTACCCTCATTAAAACTATGCCCCAAAAAAATGAGCTAACTATTCACAATTAGAGATATAGTCATAAAAGCAAACGTAACATTGGTGTTTATTTACAACCCATAGCCTATTGTCGCCTAGTCATATTTGGTGCCAACAAACCAAATCGAGAGAGAAGAATGCTACACAAGTTTTCTTATATTCAAGGTATGCAGATATCAGTATGAGTACAATGATGACCAATCTACCTAAGAGATCTCCATATGCAAATGACTCCCATATCTTAATAGTACCAAATCCTCAGACTTGAACTTCTTTCAATAATGACCTAAACCTCTTGTAGAATCACAAGTCTATGATGCCATCTGGTGGATAAAATACAGAAATGCACAAATTCTTAGCTAAATGAAAGCAGAGCTCAGGTCTCCTTGTAATGACCAAGTCAATATCCTGTTTACCAAATCATGCAGCCCCCTCAGAGTTAAGGGCTTGATTCTATTGCTATAACACACCTGAAATGGATCCTATTATTTTAAACACTCCTTAAAAATAGAAGAAGTTCACAGCCACAAAAATCTGGCTGACCTGAACTCTGCCTTCAACTAGCTAAAAATGTGTGTATTTCTGTATTTTATCCACCAGAATAAAATGGCACCAAGAAAGTATCCCAGATTTTCAAAATAACCATCAGATGTAACTGGTCTGGAGAGCTATCTCCCTTGTTATGACAGGAAGCACACATTAGTCATCTCTGCAACTTTCTCAGAATTAAAGACATTCCTGACGTACAGCATGTGCTCAGAAATTACAACCCAAATTAAAACAAATCATATGACACAATCCTTACTGCCCTCCAGATAAACATACACGGCCTTAAATTCTGCTCAGGTACCTTTAGTGGGTGCAGGTTGTAAACTGATAATTGGCTGTTGCTTTGCCAACGGCATAAGCGTTGGTACTGTCTGAATAATGATGGTTTTTGCTGGAACACTGGAGTTTGTTTGAGTCTTGGGTGCTGCTGGAAGCAATAAAGGCTTGGGCTGAATCGAAGGTTTTGAATTCACCTGAATTTTTTTCTTTGGAGTCAGTCCATTTTCTGGAGAAAAACCAGACAAAACATAAGTCAACTTGAAGGCAATTACGCAAGCCCTAAAAACCAGATTCTATCACACACCTTTCTCTACACATTATCTTAACTTCTGAGTAACAATCTTTAACTGGAGTTTAAGCATAGCTACTATACATATACCTGAATGAACTGAAGAAAAGTACTTAAACTGTTACCTTCTTTTATAACCAAGCTGCAGTTTAGGGAATGGGACACACTAACTGGTAAAGGAGAATTGCTAAAAATCACAGAATAAGCCCAGAGATTAATGAGGTAACAAACATCATAGCTGAATGGCCCTCCATTCAGTTATCTTTAACTGAAACTTTGAAATCTCTCCTTAAAATGATGGGATCTGAGTCTATTTTAAAGTATCTTTCACCTAAAAAGACAGAGACAACCAAAGATTATTCTCCCCTTTCCTCTCCACAGTAATCACTCACAACAAACAAAATAGCCAGCTTAATAAACATATATTTAATCCAGCATTTTCTTTTAAAGAAATTGAACCTAAACTCAATCTGAAATAGAAATAACAAAAGTTAGGAGACAGAGTAATACCAGTCTTGTTCCTAGGACTAGTGACAGGCTTATCTTCCTTCAGTGGCTCTGCTGAAGAGGGACTATTAGAGCTCTCACCATACAAGGAAAGGGGAGACATCTGAGAAGCAGAAGACAAATCCAACTCCTCCTGTAGCAAAATAAAAACAAAAATTGATGAGTACAATCCTTAAGCAGCAAATTACACAGAAAGAGAGGAGACCCATATATAAACAGAAAAACACTTCAAGGTAACTTCAAGGGAAAGGGATACTCGAAACTCTATCTATATATTAAGTACCAAGTGACTATCAGCATAAGCCATCGATAGCAAAGGAAAAATAACTCAAAATGCAGAGTAAGTCTATGCTATCCTGTTAAAGATACAATTGTTTCTACATTTCTTTGCACAAACTACACACACACACACACACACACACACAAACTTGGTTTCTAGTCAATTTGTTTCTACCTTTCTTTGCAGAAACTACACACACACACACACACACACACACAAACTTGGTTCCTAGTCACACATTCGGTATCACTGTAAGGTTTCAGTTAAAATGCCAATATCCTTTCCCCATAATCTCTTTTAGTCTTAAAAGAATATCAAAAGCAAAATAATTTTATTTTTATCCTTTTCTATTTTGCAATACTGCCTTTGTTCTAAATGTTGTAAAAGAAAAATGCATGAATGGAGCAGTGCTCTTTTTTTTTTTGAAACACAGTCTCGCTCTCTTGCCCAAGCTGGAGTGCAGTGATGCAATCTCAGCTCACTGCAACCTCTGCCTCCCAGGTTCAAGTGATTCTCCTGCCTCAGCCTCCCGAGTAACTAGGACTACAGGCATGTGCCACCACACCCAGCTTTCACCATGTTGGCCGGGCTGCTCTCGAACTCCTGACCTCATGTGATCTGCCCACCTTGGCCTTCCAAAGTGCTAGGATTACAGATATTAGCCACCCTGCCCAGCCAGCAGTGCTATTTTCTTTAATTTAGTGAGTGAATTCATAGTGATTGAGATACATAGATATAACACTCGAATTTTCCCGAAGTCTTTTAATACTCAGTGAATCTGTCTCATTTTGTTAGAATAAAAAAAAACATAGGATAAAAGTAGCAATTCAATTCAGAACGAAAAGATGGCATGTATGATCAGGCAACAGACATAATCTCTGCTTCATACCATCTTCAAAATAATCTATAACATTATAATATAAAAAGAAAATTTAAGAGAATACTTGCTTACTCTCAGGATGTTGCAGACCCTCTTATATCAAAACACCCAGAAGCCATAAAGGAAGAAAAAAATAGATTTGAACAAATAATAATTAAAATATTTAACAATAAAAACTAGACTCTAAATAAAAGATAGATATTGGGAGAAAATGTGAAAAACAAGCAAAGGGCAGGAACAGCCATTTCACTGAAAAGGAAATGCAAATGGTAGCCAAGGCAAATTTAAAGTTTTTTTTTAATCACAAGAAAAATTAAAAACAACCTGAGAGGATATGAGAGAAAGAGACGCTCAGTCTCACTGGTGAGAGTGAGAACTGCATCTTCATTCATCCTTAACACCTACTCAGCACGTATGCTGAGCAATATGTAGAGTGTATTAAAATATATTTCCAAGAAACCAAAGAGAACAAGAGAACATGGGAGGGGACTATTCTGCCTCAGCCTCCTGAGTAGCTGGGATTACAGGCACGCGCCACCATGCCCAGCTAATTTTTTGTTATTTTTAGTAGAGATGGGGTTTCACCATGTTGACCAGGATGGTCTTGATCTCTTGACCTCGTGATCCACCCGCCTCGGCCTCCCAAAGTGCTGGGATTACAGGGGTGAGCCACCGCGCCCGGCCCTATTTTCTTAATATTAAAAAGCTATGAGTAATTATACAGCCAAAGCCAATGCTGAATGTATTACTATTAAAGCCAAGATAAAAAAAGATACCTGCTTTTTCTGTAATTCTAGTATAATTACACTAAAAAAAGGAAATTTTAAAAAACATTAAAACAAAAAAGAGTGCCTTTTAGCAAGGTAATATGCTATGTACTAGAAGCACTTGTAACAATCCACTGAAAAAAAATCTGACCTCGAAAATACTGTATTAATACTCACTTAGAAAACATAATAAAAAATAAATATTTCGAGCCAGGCACAGAAAGACAAACATCACATGTTCTCACTTATTTGTGGGACCTAAAACCCAAAACAACTGAAATCATGAACACAGAGTAGAAGGATGGTTACCAGATGCTGAGAAGGGTAGTGAGAAGCTGGTAGTGAGAGGAGGATGGTTAATGGGTTAAAAAAAAAAAAGGAGCTGGGCACGGTAGCTCATGCCTGTAATCCCAGCACTTTGGGAGGCCAAGGTGGGTATCTCACAAGGTCAGGAGTTCAAGACCAGCCTGGCCAAGATGGTGAAACCCTGTCTCTACTAAAAACACAAAAATTAGCCAAGCATGGTAGCAGGCACCTGTAATCCCAGCTACTTGGGAGGCTGAGGCAGGGAATTGCTTGAACCTGGGAGGCGGAGGTTGCAGTGAGCTGACATGGTGCCACTGCATTCCACCCTGGGTGACAGAGCAAGACTCTGTCTCAAAAAAAAAAGGAGAAAGAATAAGACATACTCTTCAATGGCACAGTAGGGTGACTATACTCAATGAGAGCTTAACTGTACATTTTAAAATAACTAAAAGAGTGTAACTGGATGGATTGTTTATAACACATATATTCTTCAGGGGATGGATACCCCATTTCCATGATCTAATTAGTTCACATTGCATGCCGTGTCAAAACATCTCATGCACCCCACAAATACATATACCTACTATGTACCCAAAAGAATTACAAATAAAAAAGATTTTTAAATAAAACAAATAAATAAGTATTTCACTCACAACGGTAGTAACAGTTACGAAATACCTAGAAATTTTCTAAAGAATGTGCAGGATCTATATGAAGAAAACCACACAACTGAACCGAGGCATAGAAGCTCTGAGTAAACAGAGAGGTACACAAAGATTGCTGAATAGAAGGATTACGAATGATTATAAAGATAATACGGTTAGGAAAAGTGGTTCACTTCTATGGAGAAAATTAAAACAAGATCCCTACCTAATGATAGATCCCTACCTAACACCACGTATTAAAGTGAACTCTAAGAGTATTAAGAAACCTAAATGTGAATGGTAAACCATGTAGTTAACAGAAGAAAATGAAGGAGAATATCTTTGTGACCTAAAAACACACAAGGACTTCTTAACAACTTCAAAAATAAACCATAAAGGAAAAGAAAAAAAAGCGAAGCCTAAGTAATTCAAAATTAACTATTTATACCTAATAAAGACTATAAAGTTAATAGGTAACAGAAAGGGAAAAGATGTAGCAATGTCTAAATCCAACAAGAGTTTACTATTTCAAATATACGAGGAATTCCTGCAAATAAACAAGAAGACAACAACTGAGTAGAAATTCTAGGCATGTATCCTAAAGGACTTCTCATATGGGTCTGCAAGGGAACATTTTCAAAAATATTCACTGTGGTGTAGGTAAAATGGAGTGAATGTATACTTAAATGTTATACAGAGTTAGATAAAACAGATTTGATGTACACAGAGCAAAGGACAGGAAGAAACAATGTATAAAGGAAAAAGTGCAAAAAGCTGCTAAGAATCTAAAGAAATGTTGAATACAATAACCAAAGAAATAGAAAATAAAACAAAGTAAAAGCAAACAACAACAAAACACATTGTGCCATGGGGCAAAAATTAAAGCCAGACAATGCCAAGCATCAGAAGAGAAGTCACAGGGATCCTCAGGCACTGCTGCCAGCCTACAAAGTACTATGATGATCCTTGAGAGCAATACGGAAGCACCTGTCAAATTAAATACCTGCACATTCTACCACCCAGCAATTCTAGGCATATACTGGATTTTTCACATGAGTCCACAAGGAAATATTTTCTTAAATATTCATTATGGTGTAAGTAAAATGTAGTGAATACATACTTGAATGTTGTTCAGAGTTAGATTCAACAGATTTGATGTACACAGAGCAATAGGAATTGATCCTAAAAACACTGTGCTGATTTTTAAAAGTAAATAATACAAAGATATCTATTATAATATCATTTACATAAATTTAAAATACATGCATATAATTGAAATCAGATGAACTTTTTAATAAATTGCACTAGAATAATCCTTTTGATATTCATTTGGAAAAACATAAAATTGGATTTGTATCTCATATCATACACGAGGGTAATCTCAAATAGATCAGAGATCTAAATACCAAAAAGAATATCTTATGATAAATACATATTCATAGTCACTTAGAAAAAAAAAAATTCTTTCCTGAATAATTTTATCCTACACCACTAGATGAGGCAAAGCAAGACCATCACCCATGCAGAGAAGCAGCCTGGTGGAATGTCAGGGTCCAAGAAGGGTAGATGGGGCACTGATAAGGCAGGCAGCCTGGCATGAGGAGTCAGAACAGAGTGAAGATGGCATCCACATGGGAGACAGCCTGGTGTAAGATGTCAGAGACCAAAGGAGACATGTTAAAAGAATGTAAGAACTGGTTTGAAGGGATCCTCACTGGCAAATCCAGGACAATGTAAGATCAGAATAAATAATTATAGTAACAGATTATAAATCTGTTGGATAAAATAAGAAACGACAAGTCCATACTGATATTAACAAATAAGTGAACAAATAAAAAGTTCTATAAGGAATAGGATATTTTTACATAGTCTTAAAGTATCTTCCGCACAAAATATTTATGGCAAAGAGAGAAAAAGCAACTTCGCAATGGAATAGGTTGGCAGACACCATCTATTAAGTGATCAAAGTGAACATCATCAATATTAGAAAAAATCAAAATTGGGTTATCAAAAGTAAATGAGAGGGGCACAGCACTTCTGTGACATTCCTGCCACAGATATAAAACCTGAATCTGATCCTAAGGGAACGTCAGAAAAACCCAACTGAGAAATATTCTTCAATCAGCCCCTAATCCCCAAAAGTGACAAGGTGAAGAAAGTCAAGGATTAATGAAGAACTGTTTCATACTGAACAAGATTAAAAAGACAACACAACTATATGCAATGCTTGATTCTGAACTGGATCCTTTTGATAGTCTAAAGGACACCTCTGGGACATCCGGCACAATATAAATGAGAGCTGAAGGTTAGCTTATAGTAACATATCAATGTTTATTTTCTAATTTTGTGCTTGTATTATGGGTATCTAAAAAAATATCTGTACTTGTAGGAAGTAGACCCTAAAGTATTGGAGTGATAGGGCATTGGACTAGCAACTTACTCTCAAGTGCATAAGGGAAAAACAAGTTATTTGGAATGTACTCACAACACTTTTGTGAATTTGAGATTGTTCCAAACAAAAAAATTAGCATAAACAAAAAATAAGAATAAAAATATGAGGGCCAGGCGCGGTGGCTCACGCCTATAATCCCAGCACTTTGGGAGGCCTAGGAGGGTGGATCACGAGGTCAAGAGATCGAGACCATCCTGGTCAACATGGTGAAACCCCGTCTCTACTAAAAATACAAAAATTAGCTGGGCATGGTGGCGCGCGCCTGTAGTCGCAGCTACTCGGGAGGCTGAGGCAGGAGAATTGCTTGAACCCAGGAGGCGGAGGTTGCGGTGAGCCGAGATCGCGCCATTGCACTCCAGCCTGGGTAACAAGTGTGAAACTCCGTCTAAAAAAAAAAAAAAAAAAGAATAAAAATATGAATGAATTCTAACCTCTGAGTGGTAAAAACCTTCCTTTGAGTGATGAAAAAAGAGGCAATGAAAGAAAAGATCAATAATTTGGCTATAGAAAACTGTATACCTGGGGAAAATCAACACCAGAAATAAAGAGACAAAAGAAAAATTGGGGGAAAAATATTTTCAGCTTATTCCACAAATAAGGACTAATAACCCCAATATATAATAAAGCACCTAAAATATTAAAGAGAAGACCAATATAATTCAATTAAAAAATGAACAAAAATTTGAACTGACAGTTCATTTTTAAAAAAAGAAATGCAAATAGGCCTTAAGCATATAAAATATATGAACAGATATTTAACCATACTTATAATAAAAGAAATATAAAATAAAATCTATTGTGGCGTGATGATGGGAAAACAGGAGCCCTAACATACTGCTGATGAGAATGTAAAATTTTATAACCCCTGTTGAGAGAAATTTGGCAATATCTAGCAAAATTCAAGTGTATTTACCCTGGTGTCAGCAATCCCACCTCTTGGAATATATCCCAAAAATATTCTGGCAGAAATATGAAGTGACTTATGTACTAGGTTATTTACTACAGCTTATTTGAGTCTGGAAAAGACTTATGCACCGGTTATCTGAGTCTAGAAAAGACTAAAAATACCACAAATACTTATCAATAAGGAAATCACTGAATTAAGCATGACATGGCCATACAATGAAATATTATGTAGCATCATGGGAAAATTATATACTCTGAAATTAGAGTTATCCTGCTAAGCTAAAAAAGCAAGGTACAGAACAGGGTATATACTATGCTGCCTTTTGTGTAAAAAAGGATGGAAATGACAAGGATAGAAACCAGGTTTTTCTGAATATATCTTATATAATTTTGACTTCAAAAATAAATTATTGATTTTAAAAAAATTAAATCATTGGAGAAATTGTGGGACCTCAGAGAGCTACAAATAGTAGCAATCAGAGAAAAGCTTTGTAAAGGAAGTAATTTTTGAACTGGGACTTGAAAGATGAGTTTTCCAAGATAAGAAAAAAATGGGGCTACTCTAGGCAGACGAAAGAGGATGTGCAAAAACCTAGAACTGTAAGAGCAGCGATCTCACTGCTGTTGTTCACTGCCGGCATCTGGAACAGGGCCTGGCGCAGTGGCTGAATGAGTGGAGTGCATAGGAGCTCTCAGGCAGGAACTCTCACAGGGCTCAAGCTAAGGGGAATGCTCAATCAAGGTGGGGATAGCAAGAAAGGAGACTGGAAAGGTAAATGGGCGACATATCATGGAGGGCCTAGTACTCTTGAGAATTTAAATGTCATCCTTGTAGGGGCTGGGAAGTTATTAAAAGGTTTTAAGAAAACGACTGATACGGTCAAGCTTGTGATACTGAAATATTTCTCTTTGAAGATTCCTCTGCTAAGAAAGGTTTGAGTAGTTGGCAGGCTAACAGACCAGTCAAAATCCTATTGACTTAATTCAGGTGAGATGGTGATGGCCTGGCAGGGGCAGAAAAGATAAATCCTTGAATTAATATGTGCATAAAACCACCAGGATTTAGTAACTAAATGTAGAGCCTGCAGGAACAAAGATATCACAACTTATAGCACATATAATATACTAAAATATGATTTGATTTTTTTATTTTTATACTTTCCCTTTCCCCATTCTAAAAAGTACCTAAATCAGATACTTCCTTTTCCTGACCTGAGGGCTTTTGTCTGGACACAGAGCAGAAGCATTTTTAAAGAGCTACCGTACTTCTATAAAAACATCAGCCCTTGAGAAATCATCACACTGTCTTCCATAATGGTTGAACTAATTTACACTCCCACCAACAGTGTAAAAGTGTTCCCATTTCTCCACATCCTCTCTAGCATCTGTTGTCTCCAGATTTTTTAATGATCACCATTCTAACTGGTGTGAGATGGTATCTCAATGTGGTTTTGATTTGTATCTCTCTAATGACAAATGATGAGCACTTTTTCATATGTTTTTTGGCCGCATATATGTCTTCTTTTGAAAAGTGTCTGTTCATATACTTTGCCTACTTTGGAATGGGGTTGTTTTTTTCTTGTAAATCTGCTTTAGTTCTTTGTAGATTCTGGATATTACCCCTTGTCAGATGAGTAGATTGCAAAAATTTTTTCCCATTCTGTTGGCTGCCGGTTCACTCTAATGATTTTTGCTGTGCAGAAACTCTTAAGTTTAATTAGATCCCATTTGTCTATTTTGGCTTTTGTTGCCAATGCTTTTGGTGTTTTAGTCATGAAGTCTTTGCCCATGCCTATGTCCTGAATGGTGTTGCCTAGGTTTTCTTCTAGGGTTTTTATGGTGTTAGTTCTTATGTTTAAATTTTCAGTCCATCTGGAGTTAATTTTTGTATAAGGTGTAAAGAAGGGGTCCAGTTTCAGTTTCCTGCATATGGCTAACCAGTTTTCCCAACACCATTTATTAAACAGGAGATCCTTTCCCCATTGCTTGTTTTTGTCAAGTTTGTCAAAGATCAGATAGTTGTAGATGTGTGACATTACTTCTGAGGTCTCTGTTCTGTTCCATTGGTTTATATCTGTTTTGGTACCAGTATCATGCTGTTTTGATTACTGTAGCCTTTTAGTATAGTTTCAAGTCGGGTAGTGTGATGCCTCTAGCTTTGTTCTTTTTTGCTTAGGATTGTCTTGGTTATGCTGGCTCTCTTTTGGTTCCATCTGAAATTTAAAGTGGTTTTTTCCAGTTCTGTGAAGAAGGTCAAGAGTAGCTTAATAGGGACAGCATTGAATCTACAAATTATTTTGGGCAGTATGGCCATTTTCACAGTATTGATTCTTCCTAACCAGGAGCATAGACTGTTTTTCCACCTGTTTGTGTCCTCTCTTATTTCGGTGAGGGGAGGGACAGCGGGAGGGTGGGGAGGATGGAAATGGATAATACCGGGAGAAATGCATGATGTAGGTGGGGAAAGGGTGGGGGGGATGGAGACAGCAAACCACCATGGCATGTATGTACCTATGCAACAATCCTGCAGGATGCAAGATGTGCACATGTACCCCAGAGCCCAAAGTAAAAAAAAAAAAAAATAGCCCCTTCTAAAGGTAGCAGTAGGCATTCCCGAACTAAGGCAATCATTCTAGATTCTGTGGCTAAAGAGATATAAAGACTGACCATATTACATTCTTCTATGTCCATATATAAAGAATGTATATTCTAACAGGAAGGAGAAAGAAAGGCAGGGAGAAGACAGTAAGCCAGTAAACAAAACAATACTGGATACTGTTTAAATGCAATGAAACAATGAAATTATGGAGGCGTCAACAGAAGGGAAAGAGGGCAAAACCAAAGGCACTAATAACTGTCTAGCTCCCACAGGCTCTTTCTTAAGTCTCAGTTCCCTCATTAAATGAGAATAAAACTCATGGTAGTATTCAACAAATGTTAACTGCCTCCCCCATATATATATTTTCCAGATAGCATTATAACCAAAATCATTGTAAAAGACTGGCTACTCACAGGAACATGCTGAGTTGAAGAATAAGAGTCCACTGACTGAGGAGACGAGACTGAATAACTTGAGGAGGCTGGAGAAAGTGGCTGAGGTTCTGCCTTAATATCTTTAACTGGAAAACATGGAGGAAAGTTTTACCCACTGGACAATAAAAACTTAGAGTAAAATGAACAAGAAAGGAGGTAAAATCTTTTAAAATTCAATCAGATATGGAAGCTAAGGTCACCGAAATGTATCAAGTGAAAATGCAAGATGCAGTATCTAGTATGCTTCCACTTGTGTAACAAATTACATATGTAGGGGGAGGCTGTGCGTGTGTACACTTGCATCTGCACTAATTCTCTGGAAGGGTAAACAGAAGAAACTGGTAACAGCAGTTGTCTCTGGAAAGCAGAACTTGTTGGCTGAGGAATAAAAGCAGGAGACATTTTTCTACTGTACAGATTTTTGTACCTTTTGAATATTATACCACATGCAAAATATTATAGATTCCCAAAAATTTAATTTAAAAAAAGTAAAAAACAGGAAATAATTATTCTGGAAAGCATTTTTCACAATACAATTAAAACTCATAAGAAATGTTTGTATCTTTTAAACTATTAATTTATCCTCTAAAAATGTACTGAGCAACTATGGCCCAGGCAGTGTCTCTTGGTGTCAAAGATAGAACAAGGTAGGGATGGCAGACTGTGTTTTCCAGAATTAGCCATACAATATCTACCATCCATCATGTTCTTCCCTCATGATCTTCTATAATGTGATCTTGCAACTTCCCCACCAAGAAGTAGAGTCCATTTCCCCACCCCATGAATTTCGGTGGGCTTGACTCCTTCAATCAAGAGAGGATAGAAGTAATGCTATGTGAATTCTGAGGCTGGCAATGCAGCCTCTGCTTTGTGTGCTGGAACACTCACACTTGGAGCCTTTGAAGTCTGACTACCCTGAGACCACCATGACTTGCGAACACCACGCCACATAGAGAGGCCCTATGCAGGCACTCCAGTTCACAGTCCTAGTCTTCAAGTCATTCCACCCCAGGTGCTACACATATGAGTGAAGAAACCTCAAGACGATTCCGGCCCCCAAATGTCAAGCTACTACAATCTTCAAATCTCCCCAGTTGTGGCTGGACATCATGGAGCAGAGACAAGTCATCTTTGGAGCACCCAGTCAAAATTTGTGACCCATAGATTCTAGCAGTTTAATAAAATGGCTGTTGTTTTAAGCAACTAAGACTTAAGAGTAGTTTGTCAAACAATAAAACCACAACACTGACCTTGTGTATCCCACATTCTATGAAGGCAGACAGGCATGAAGCGATATAATACATAAAATAAAGAGGAATAGGTAGTGCAGGGGTAGGAAGGAATTCAGATAGGATAATGTGCTGCTTATTTATTCACTGTCTCTCAGCACCAAGCCCACTTTCTATAATATGTGATACAAATATTTCCCAGCTGGCATTCTTTTAAGTCCTGTCAATAGGAGATACTAGAAAGATGCTAGAAGTGACGAGATGGGATAGTCTTCATTCAACCATCAGCTGGAACCCAACATTGGCAATTTGCTCCAGGTTTCAGCTTCTTTTAGTATACTCAACCCTGACCTCATCAGGCCCCCTTAATGATAGTATCAGCCAGGTGCTTCCCCTTCTCAGAAGTACATGTGTTAAATGCATGGGAACTCCTCTACCAAGTTCGTAGGTTCTGGTAACCCTCTTCCCTTGGATTCCCTGAGCCCTGTCTGCTTCTCAGGTTAATCTTATATAGAGACATTATTCAAAATTCAAAATCAACATTTCCATTTCTGATATGAACTATTTATTCATTCATTACACTACTGAAACATAACTATGAAATTCCTCATATCCATTTTTGACAAGAAATTTGTTTACACAATTGCCATACCAGAAGTAGAATGCACAACACGAGGAATCTTTTAAGCTACCAATATAGCCCAATAACCCGCCTAATTTTTAGTAGGACCAAATTGCAAAATAAAATTGATCTGTTTAAAGCTTTTACTAGTGAAACACATAATTACCTGTACAGATTTGGTTGTGAATGTCCCAAATGTCTGACTCCCAAGGCATCAAATCAAAATCAAAATCAAGATGATCAAAATTGTTTTCCTGTAGGTTTCAAATCACCAAAAGAAAATTAAAAGAATAAAACATACACATCTTAAAATCAAGCTATTAGACACAATTTGGCACAAATAATATAACTGCTATTAGCCAACCTAGTAAAATGAATATTCTAAGCCAGTCTTGTATGAGAATACATCTTGGATAGCCTAGAGATTCAGTTACCTGAAGCACAGCAATAATAACTAGGCAAGAGGCAAGGGATTGAGTATTTAAAAGATTCAGTTGGCTTCACTCTTTTCTATGAGAACAGACCTTTACAGGAGTCAAAAATGTGTCTTTTATCATAAGAGAAGTCCAGCAAAATACATTTTCCCATTGCCATTAAGAAAAACAAGACAAAGCAAATGCTATTCACAATATAATCTCTATATAAAATAGAGAGAATACAGACATATCCAAAAGACAGGCAAGAATCACAAAGAGGGTAGTTACCACTGAGTAATTTTCCTTTTTTTCTACTGTTCTATACATCCTAAATTTCTGAAACTTTTATGAATTAAAAAAAAAAAACTTGTTAATCCTGTAATATACTTTTTAATCCTATAAAATAAAACTAAGTTTTTTAAAACAGGGGTCAGCAAACTTCTTAAAGGCTCCATTAAGTGCTTTTCATTTAGATGGTTTTTCTAACTGAAATATAAGCATATTCTGGGTCATCCAGACGACCACCTTATACTAGATACATAAATGAAGAAGTGTCACGTAATTTCAGAGCCCTCATGTAAATCTGAGATCAAGTTAGTACCAAACAGTACTATTTTAAATGAAGTGTCTGGAGTCACAGAGACAAAAAGAGAAGTAAATTTAATATATAAATAATGCAATAAAGGCAATAAATATTAACTTAATGTCACAGATGATAAAATAGCAACAACAGGGTTGCTTAAGCCCAGGGGTTCAAGATCAGCCTGAGAAACATGGCAAAATCCATCTTTACCAAAAAAAAAAAAATACAAACACTAGCTGGGCATAGTGGTATGCACCTGTGGTCTCAGCTCCCCTGGAGGCTGGAGTAGGAGGATTGCTTGAGTCCCAGAGATGGAGGCTGCAGTGAGCCGAGATCATGCCACTGCACTCCAGCCTGGGAGACAGAGCCAGACCCTGACTCAAAAAAAAAGGAAACAATAAAGAAAATATATCTCAGGCAAAAAAAAAAAAAAAAAAAAGTAAAAATGTATCTAATAACTGGTAAGGACCATTTGTTAATAATTTCTAGAAGAGTGTTATCATTTCAAAATGACTATTATATAGTTAATTTTTATTGAGACTACAACAGAAACAAAGAAGGGAAACTGTTTTCTTATAGTGCCCGTAACTGAGTAAATATTAGTACAGGGTACATAAAGAGAATATGTGGAAGTGTACATGAAAAAAAAAATATTTAAATCATAAAAGAACCATTTCTTTATAAAAATCAAAAAGAAAAAAGAAAGAAAAAAAGTAGCTTTGTAACTCATACTGATGAAAAAGAAAAAATTAACTTAAAAAATAAATAAATAAATAAAAAGGAAAAAATCAATCTCCTTCACTTTTTTTTCTTATTTGGATCTACACATCAAAAAATTAAGCAGCCTTGGCCAGGCGTGGTGGCTCACACCTGTAATCTCAGCTCTTTGGGAGGCCAAGGTGGGTAGATCACTTGAGCTCAGGAGTTCGAGACCAGCCTGGACAATGTAGTGAAACCCCATCTCTACTAAAAATACAAAAATTAGCCAGGCGTGGTAGCACACACCTGCAATCCCAGCTACTCAGGAGGGTGAGACATGAGAATCCCTTGAACCTAGGAGGCAGGAGGTTGCAGTGAGCCAAGATCACACCACTGCACTCCAGCCTGGGCAATAGAGTGAGACTCTGTCTTTAAAAAAAAAAAAAAATTAAGCTGCCTTGTACTTTTAGCAACCAAAAAATCCGTAAACTTTCTTAATCTGTGTAAAGTTACCAATGCTACATGCCTGAGTGCCAGCAATACTTTTAAATAAGGGCATGATCTGCTTCAAGAAACTTCTGACTCAATCTTCAGCCAAGTCAAATACCTTCTAGAGCATAAAGATTTTTATCTCGTCAGAAATTTAATGGGCCCAATTTATGAAAAATGAAACATACTTATATATACTAGCTCTTCAATGACTTAGCATGGGAAATTCTACTACCATTTGGAAGAAGGATGACATGAGGGCTCTCAGAGATTCAATCCCTTCGTGTTATACTAGAAAAAATAAGGAAGTGAAACACTGAGTGCTTTGCATAAAATAATAGAATATTATTTTATTCTAATAAATAATAGAATGTTAAGTCATAAAAGCAGGAATAGATTTCCCTTAATCTTTCCAATTGCACACAGTTTCTTCACATAGTTTAAAAGAAACACTTTCCTTTAGGATTCTAGATGTTATGAAATACAAATATCAGTTGCTTATTTAAATAGCCAATATCAAAAGGCAATTTAATCAACAGGCCACAATCAAAAGTATCTCATGGAGTAAATGAAACCATTAAAATCCCATGTACTGATTTTCTAAAATACATCACGTGCTTCATCCTCTTCTGTTGATTTATGGTAAAACAACTGCTAAATCATTATTTAGAAATATCTGAAATTCACTAAGCAATCTGTACACGTTTTGTACTCTAGTTAATAAGAGCTTAAAATGATGTGATATTCAACATGACAAATTACTCTGCTCACTTGAATTACTTCTTCAATGAAACAGCACCTCATCTGTTAAAGAATAAGACAAAATCAAAGTTCTATAGGCCAAACAGCTTAATATGAACTAATCAAGAAAAGAAAATCGAAGATATTTTTGAGGACCCAGAGTGTTAAAATAGTTTTCACACAGATCTTTAACCAAAGGCAAGGATATACCTACTCTTCAGAGCTTTCTACATAAATATATAACTTTTAAAAAGGAAGTTGGTAAGTTCTGCTTGACATACCAACTTAGTCAAGCAGAACTTATCAACTTCCTATTTAAAAGCAAATAATCTGTAAAAACCAAGAAGTAGGCAGGTTAGCGACTTTTCCAAAGTCACCCACCAATTCCCTTATGTAGCAAAGTATCTGTAAAAAAGAAGTAGGTTAGTGACTTTTCCAGAGTCACCCACGCAAAGTGCCGGTAAAAACCAAGTAGGCAGGTTTTTACCTAGGGCCAAAGGTGGGCCTAGAATACAAGTCTCATACCAAGACCAGTGCAATTTCTACTGTCCTACATTTGCTGACTACAAAATGGCTACTAACTTTCACACTTAATGGTAGAAGCTATTTACCATTAAGTATGTAACTTAAATTACTAGACTAAACCTGTTGGCCTGAAACTTTCTTGCAATAAATAGGGTTAAAGACTAAGTATCACATTATTCAACCTTAGTAAATACTTACATAAGTCTCATTTGCTGCGTCCAATTGCAGCTCATCAGTGTCTGTGAAATAACCGAGTTCAGCAAATAGGGCAGAATCTTTGGACAAAAAAATAGAGATTAACTGTCAATTCAATTATTTGACAAAGCAACAAGCACTGTACCCCATGTCACCTCTATTAAGGTTTCTTATTAGACATTACTATTATTAATAAACTCCAGAAATGTAAATGACAAGCAATTCAAAACTCATTTCCAATTTATGTGTTGTTTTCTGCATAATTTTTATCTTGTGAGCTGAATTCTTACACCAGGGATCAAAAAAGATTTTATGTCATATGTCATGTAAGACTAATTGGTAATAGCTTTATGGAACATTACTAACAAGAATGCTGATGCTGTATTTGGGTTCAGCATGAAAAGTTAATGTGGTTCATAAGTAATAATAATAGAGTGGACTAAGGAAAGTATACATGTACTGCATATTTGTCATCCACACCTTAAGTTAAGGGTATAACCAATTTTCTATCTAGACAATAAAGGATTTACTCATCTAAACCATCAAATTCATTTCAGCAAATCTAACTATATTCCAATTTCCTAATGAGGTTTCATTATAAACCAAGAAATATGTGGATACAGAAAACATTCTTCAATACACTATACTGAAAACTTTCTGTAGAGAAAGGTCAAGGTGTTGACCAAGGCCCAAGAAGGCTGCTTGCCACAGAATCCATGAAGTTCCTATTTTCTGTGACACTTTCAAAACTTCAGGCACTTTGAAGAGTTTTTCAAAACTAGGTCTTCCTTTGTACTCCTTATCTATTATACTCCACTGAAACTGCTCTGATGATTTCCTCATTGCACAAGTGTAGGAAGTACACTGCCAGTCTATTATTAACTTGACCAATTACAGTAACATTTCACCACCCTAAAACAAAACAGTATTTAGCAAAAAATTTTATATGTAGTAATAACCAAAGGTTACTCACATGACTCTCAGAAAAGACTACTCAGCTGCACAGCCAACAAACATGTAAGCAGAGGACTGTGGCTTATATATAAGCTGAAACTCCTTGAAAAAGTTCTGTTTGGGCTTTCTCATTTCTTTCCTCTCATTCGTTCTTGAACCTGTTCCAATTAAGCTCCCCCCTCCACATACACACAATTATTAATGTCTCCAGTGACTTCCATATTGCTAAATTCAACAGCAAATTCACATTCCTCATCTTACTTGACTTGCCAACAGCATTAACATAGTTGATCTTTTCATTTTAACTGGAGCATTTTCTTCACTTGAATTTCAGAATACCACACTTACTTGGTTTTCCTCTCACCTCACTGGTTGACCCAACCTTGCTGGTTCTTCCTCATCTCCCTAACATGAAATTGTCCCTGGGCTCGGCATAAACGTTTCTATCTATCTTACTCTCTGTAATCTCAGCTGAGCTCATGGCTTTAAATAAAATCTATATGTCAAGGATTTCTAAATATACATCTCCAACCCACACTTCAAGATGCACATACACTGAGTACTGACATCTCCTCTTAGATGTTAAAAGGCACCTCAAACCTAACATATCCAAAATTAGTTACTCATCAACCCCACCAAACTTCCTACTGCTTTGTCCTCAACCCAGTTAATGAGAAATGAATTTTACCAGTTGCTCAGGCCAAAAACCTTGGGATCATTATTACTCCATTCTTTTTTTTTTTTTTTTTTTGAGACAGAGTTTCACTCTTGTTACCCAGGCTGGAGTGCAATGGCTCAATCTCGGCTCACCACAACCTCCGCCTCCTGGGTTCAGGCAATTCTCCTGCCTCAGCCTCCTGAGTAGCTGGGATTACAGGCACGTGCCACCATGCCGAGCTAATTTTTTGTATTTTTAGTAGAGACGGGGTTTCACCATGTTGACCAGGATGGTCTCGAACTCTTGACCTTGTGATCCACCCGCCTCGGCCTCCCAAAGTGCTGGGAATACAGGCTTGAGCCACCACGCCCGGCCTACTCCATTCTTTACTTCTCTTCTTCACTCTCCATATTCAATCTACCAACAAATCCTGTCAGCTCTGTCCTTAAAATATACATCTGTAATATGGCTTCCTACCTTTCCTCCCATTCTTCCTTCCCTTCCCAGCCTTCCTTTTCTTCCCTACCAGTCCCGTCACAGAGATGTCAGCTTCTGAGGAAGCAGAGCAACAAGGGTGATGGGGTTTTGTGCACAGTCATCTCCAGCAATGTGCCTCATATCCAAGGAAATAGGATGGTGTAGGAGAGACTATTACCCAGCAAAGGTGGCAGCATGCCCCAGCCCAGTGGGAGGCGGAACGGAGTGGCAAATGGAAAAGGCAGCCTGAGGGGACAGAAGACTGGTCATACGGAACAAATATGTTAGTTGATTGAACAAATGGTTGAATATATCTAAAATAATTAGAATGTTCTGGTTTCTCTTCAGAACAAATAAATCTTTTGCCTTTTACTAAAATAAATGGAGTCAGATTTCTCACAGTCTGAGAAAGAATTTAAGAACATGGAAAGAGTCAGGAGACTAAAAGAATCCTAAGATGTTGGATTGGAACTGAAAGCATTAGTAAATAAACTCATTTAAAGTATATATACATACAGATAGCTGTAGAAATACTATGTACACATATATCAGATGTTTGTATACACACACACACATATACATGTATATATTTCCTAGTTATGTCTGCTAAGTAGTCCTAGAAGCAATGATGTCCCAGTAGCAATGAAAATACTGGGTGCCCAGATCTTGGATACTGAGTACCATCTTCCACCAAATGGAAGTTCACTAAGGGGTTCCTTTGAGAAATGACCGATTCCAGGGCTGCAGCAGGAAAAGTGCAAAATAAGCCTGGAAAATCTTGCTGTGTCAGAAATTCTTAGCAAATGATAGGAACATGTCAAAAAGAACAAAGGCCCCAATACGAATGAACTCCCAGTGGTCAAATCTGGGAGAATCGGAGCATCAGAATAAAATGAGAGTAGCAGTTAACCAACCATCAAATAAAAAAGGAGTCAACAGCTTATCACGAAAGGAAGGAAAAGAAGGAAAGAAGGAAGGAAGGAAGGGAGGGAGGGAGGGAGGGAGGGAGGGAGGGAGGGAGGAAGGAAGGAAGGAAGGAAGCAAGCAAGCTAGCTAGCTGCTTATAGTGCAAGGTCAATTAACAAATATAGACAGAATGATAATGAGAGTTAGATAGTTACCATTTGGCAACCATTAGAGTGGTAACTGATATAGACTGGGGTTATAAGTGAGTCTAGGGCTCCTGGTTAGAGGTTTAATAAGAAAAGGATATTGGGCCGGGCGCGGTGGCTCAAGCCTGTAATCCCAGCACTTTGGGAGGCCGAGGCGGGTGGATCACAAGGTCAAGAGATTGAGACCATCCTGGTCAACATGGTGAAACCCCGTCTCTACTAAAAATACAAAAAAAAAATTAGCTGGGCACGGGGGTGCGTGCCTGTAATCCCAGCTACTCGGGAGGCTGAGGCAGGAGAATTGCCTGAACCCAGGAGGCGGAGGTTGCGGTGAGCCGAGATCGCGCCATTGCACTCCAGCCTGGGTAACAAGAGCGAAACTCCGTCTCAAAAAAAAAAAAAAAAAAAAAAAAAAAAAAAGAAAAGGATATTGGTGTTATGTCAGATTATCTCCCCCAAAATAGTAATAAAATATAAAAGGGGAAGCAGTGGCTTTACAGTGGTGAAACCTGGGAAGATACCGACTTGACCAAGTGATCATGTGAATGTATAATAGGATGACATGACGGCACAGGAACATCATATTTATACTATAACGTATGCTCTCATTTTATTGTGATGCTCAAACTTTCCAGATTTGACCACTGGGAGTTCATTCATATGAACATTCAATATCAATGTTCATTTGCTGAGAATTTCTGGCACAAGATTTTCAAGGCTAATTTTGCACTTTCCCTGCACTTCTCCAGCCATGAATTGGTCATTTCTCCTAGGAACCTCTTAGTGGTTTAGGATCATCTTGTAGAATAAAAGACTTGTACTCTTTAAGACTGTCAAGGACATTAGACAAAGGAAAAGACCATCAGATTAAAGGACACTGATGAGACATGACAAGTAAAAGCAATGAGTGTTTGCAGGTAATCCTAGACTAGAAAAACAAATGATTATTGAAACAGATGGCAAATTTTGAATGGTGTCTTTGAATTGGATGACAGTCTTGTATCAATGTTTATCTCCTGACTGGAAGAACTATAGGGCAGTAATATAGGAAAGTGGCTTTGTTTTAAGGGGTAGAAGGGTGAGAGTATACACTACAGTATTTAAAGATGATGGGTCAACACATCTCTCCCTTTCTCTCTCTTTCTCTCTCAAGGGAGAGACAAATGTAGCAAATGCAGTAAAATTTAACAACTGAGGAGTCTGTGTAAAGGGCATGCAAGAGTTCTTTGCACTGTTCTTACAACATTTCTATAGATTTCAAACTATTTCAAAAATTTTTAATGTATGTATATAACATGTGTATATGCATGTATATGTATACATATCCATAATCCAACTACTTCTCATTCCTCCACTGTTACTATTGTAACTCATGGGGACTGCTTTAGTGGCTTCCAAAATGCTCCATGCTTCTGCCATTGCCCTCTTTCAGTCTATTTCCAACAGAGCCACTGAAGTAAGCCTATAAAAAGCAAAGACGTTATTTGGAATCACGATTATCATAGTGGCAGAAGAGAAACACGAGCACATAATGCAAGAAGGTGAAAAAGAACCCTGTTATGTTAGCTTTTAAGTATAAAGCATACTAAAATAAATTCATGCTTTTTAAAAATAAGTATTTCTGGCCAGGCGTGGTGGTTCACACTGGTAATCCCAGCACGTTGGGAGGCTCAGGCGGATGGATCATAAGGTCAGGAGTTTGAGACCAGCCTGGCCAACATAGTGAAACCCTGTATCTACTAAAAATACAAAAAAATAGCCAGGTGTGGTGATGGGTGCCTGTAATCCCAGCTACTCAGGAGGCTGAGGCAAGAGAATCGCTTGAACCCAGGAGGCAGAGGTTGCAGTGACCCAAGATCATGCCATTGCACTCCAGCCT